AAATTATTTATCGGTTCTACTGCATAGAACTCTTTTTAGAACTATTGTAGAACTCTCATGCGATAAAAATCCTAGCAGAAATAATTAGGAAAACGTCCGGGGACAAAGTGATTTGCAGCGTGAAGTTAGCAAATCAGTTTGCACTTTGCGATTTTTTGGTCTTAAAAGCCAGAACTATGTGTTTAATGTATCAGGAACTCTAGAACTATTAGAAAGGAAGTCAGAACTCTAAAAAATTAGTGATTTTCCAGGAAATGATATGCCAGCTTCACACACACGTCGGTCAAGTGCAAGTCGTGCCTGGGCAAACTCTGTACAGTTAAGAGGGACTTGTACAACGCCGTGGTGATGAAATGCAGATTCGTCAGTCTAGTATGTAAGTTTCCCGTTAAAACTCTGCCGGCGAAAGCGTGCGCTGTTACTAGGAAAATTATGAAGCGGAATGTCGAGTGGGTCATTTGTGAAATGAAAGAATCCGAATGTAAGTATTGGAGACAATCGTAGAACACGTGTCGCAATTTAACTTACAACGTAGGCGTACTGTCTGAACATGTGTACGAGGAAAGCGTGTGTTTACTGTTTGTTCACCTTCTTGTGCAGTTGCATCTCTCGACTCGACGGAGTTGAACCGAGCCCTACAGATTCTGAGAGCTTCAGGAATCTTGAGAATATTATCTCTTTCGTGCTGTACAGATTGAGCGTTGTATATTACAGCAATAATTTGTATAGGTAAGCTGCGACTGTGCGCATTGAATGCCTTGTTAACGTATAACCAGTCAAACACAAAAGCTTTTCGTAGATGGGTGCACATTAAGAAAATTACGTCCAAAGAAGTCGCAAGCTTGGCTATGCTGGACTGCTTGACCAGTGATGAAGATGAGATAAAGAGCGAACTGGGACTTTCAATCGATATCTCTAAGTACGACGTTACCGCGTTGTGTCTGCGTGAAGTCAACAGTTTACTGGAGGAACAGATTGCATTTGCGAACGGCGTGGCAGCGGTTCTGGAAAAATTGAGGAAGCTACAGCCGAGTGATCAATATGCACACACGGTGCAGTTATTAGGATATTATTTCTTAGGTTTCAATTACGAGAGCTCTATTCTGGAGTACCACGAGTAAGCTATACACGATTTGAAGCGGAAAAAGTCGAACTCCGTAGCTGTTCTGTACTCGGAAGCTAATTTAAGTCTTTTTACCTTTGCAGAGAACTTGCGAGTCATGATTAAGCAAACTCAGTTGGAAATAGAAATTGCCAAATTTTGTTTTCTTATAGAAGAACTTTCTGTTAAAAATTGGTGGAAAGTCTGGAAACAATCCTAAAGATCATCTTCATCGCACTCTCACCAAAATATTTACAAATGAGTGCGCGATAAGTTGCTCTTGGAAAGA